AGACGTTTATCTGTTGATGACCTTTTGACCTCCTGAATTCTGCAATGAGATTTTCGGGTCGATTCAGCCGAGACGGCCCGAGTGGAGTTTCATGTAAATGTTTCGTACGGAAAAAATAATCGCTGCCCGTTCGAGCGGATGCATTTAGTACGAACTACAACAAGGGCGAATTTATCGTCGCCCTATTTTTGTATTTGTTTGTTTTATGCAAAAAATACTCTGTGCACTAAAGTTCTAAAATGTTTTGGGTACTTTTTGATAATTATTCCATGTTTGAATTACAGTCTTGGCAAATCCGACTAAAAGAAAGCACTTAGCTGGCCCTATATTATAAAACTATAGAATTTCGCACGTAGAATTCACGGTTTTTGTCTCCAGTTGAATTATTCAGTTTTTTAACAGTATTTGTAGATTACGATTTAGGCCTATATTTGTAAATGGGAGTAACTGTAATTGTAATTTTTATTCACCATAGAAATTTAAATTATTTTTACGTATATGGTATCAGGTGCACAAATCATTGGTGTAGACTCAGGGGCGGATCAGTGCAGGGGACACGGGGAGGCACGTGCCCCCTCGTCTTGCCACTAAATTTTAAAAATGTCAATGCATATTAATATTTTATGTGCTACTCACTTATCTATTCTGAAACTGTTGTGCCCAAACCCCCGCCGTTTGAAAAATTCTGGATCCTTCAGCCCCTGGCAAGACTATCAACAACACAGTAATAGACATCATATCAATTTTCTCCACTATTCAACCATTCGTCTATATAGTTCAAAACCCACTTTTTTTAACTTAGCATGTGGAAAGAATAACAATGACTTAACATTATTTTTATAAACGTAGGTATGTTTAATTGTAAATTGTTAACCTTATAAATCAATTAAATACGACTTTTTTTTTATACATAAGACTATAGGCTTCTCCCCTGGACCCCACCGGGGCTTTTCCCCTGGCTCCAGTGGCGTATCTAGAACTCTTGAAATGGGGGTGCTTATGGGGGCGCAAAGGTGAAGTAGGGGGCTTGATGATCGGTTGAGGGATGCTATCAGGGACGTATACAGGGTGGGGGCGTAGGAGCCGCGGCTTCCCCCTCCCCTTTGTACACAACAGTCTTAAAATTTTAAAGCTTGTTCTTGCTAGCCAATATTCTTTCCAAGGATCACTCGAATTAAATAATTCTAATCTATGAAAATATGCATCAGCACATGTTATACATATGCCTACTATAATAACACATAGGTCCAAGCGTGATTTTTTAAAATCTTAAATCCGTTTAAGTCCCAGGCCAGGTCTTTCAGAAACAGAAATGTGATAGGCCTATGGTTAAGTTCGGTTTTTATCGTTTTTGAAGCTCTATAAAGTTTTGATTTAATACTACAGCACTACTAGTTAATAATAATAATAATAATAATAATAATAATAATAATAATAATAATAATAATAATAATAATAATAAT